CTCAGCAAGTCCTGTCACAAATGTGGATCCCTTAAGAACATGCAATGTCCAAAAATGACACAGGCCGTTTCAGAACCAATGAGCTCCCTTTCAAAGGACCTATATAAGCAGACAACAACCATCCATGTATGAATGACCTACTGAAGGATATCTAATGGAGTGGAAAACTTGGACAAGCCCGCTGTAAAGGTCCTTTCAAATCCAGAACTCTGATTAGATTTGAGGGCTGCAAGTACCAGGTGACGAGACAAGCACTGGCAGCTTCCTCTCTAACCAATCAGGTAAAGTTATTTTAATCTAAATTTTGTATTTATTAAGGAAGGGATAAGTGAACACAAAGCAAAAGCAAAAATGTGCAATAGGCGGTAATATTTTTTAATGCACTTACCTTCTAAATTGTTGGTATGTTTTGTATCTATGGGTCATTATTTCTTCCAATAATTTAATAAACCTTTTTAAAGTCTTTACTTTATTATCCAGATCAAGATAAGTTTCTCTGGCTTCTTGGTACTGCCTATTTTATGAACAAAATATTAAGTAAATAAATGCCATTCAAAGAACACAGGAAAAGTAAAATCTCAAGTAAATGTAATGGGGAAGAACAAGGAACCCAGGGGGTGTCTAGGGGGCCCAGCATGAGCAGAATCCACAAATCTCCAAGCAAAATACACCGCCAGGATGAGCGTGCCGCCCAGACTGGGAAGAGCTGTTAGCATGCGGGGAGGGGGCAGATCTCAGAGAATGCCAGCAAATATATACCCTCCAAAAGGAAAGGGATCAAACTGGAAGGCAAGAAATGTTTCTCTCAGTGACAGATGCCAACGCGGGAACAGAGGAACGTGGGGTGAGCATGAGGATTCCTCCTGCTCCCCAACCCTGGCTGAACAAAACAAAGTCAAGAGGCAGGAAGGCATGGCTCCTCAGAAGTGCTATGACGGTGCCAATGGCTGTAGCTGTAGAAAGGGAGAGAAAGTTCCTGACAAAATATGAAAGGCAGAACCAGCCAAGGCTCCCATAGCTGCCCGTCCCATCCTTCAAATGCCCAGTCCAAGAATATCCAACTAATTAAAAAACGAGTAACAAAACAGGCACACGCATAGTATCCATACAGAGATATTTATGGGGTGGGGGGGAAAAAGAGTTGGAAAATAAAGACCAGAAAAACTCCCCCTAAAGACAAAGAAAACTTATTAGAACAATGACGTCATGAAGCAGATAAAAACTGTAACTGAACACCGTAGATTAAAACATGAGATAAGTGCTACCGGGAAGGAATATCTCAAAGCTGAAATAAAAGAACTGAAAGAATAGACAGGTAAACAACAGAAGGAGATAATCAGACAAGAGGAGGAGGTGAAGTGAGACTGTGCGGTACTCAAGGTGGGGGGTGGTTAGAAAAAAAAAGGCAAGACAAAATGAGAAGATGATGTATGGGGCAAACACACAACACGGAAAACATACTGAAAACATACTGACAGACATAGAGAACAGAAATGAGAAAAGCAAACAAATTCCAAGGAAAAAACAGATAAAATGGTTAGCCAAAACACCTAGAGAAGAAAAAGGATACCTAACGTATGTATTAATAAAGACCTCAAAAAGAAAACTAAACAACAGAATAGAAAATATTTAAAAGTAAAAGCCAAGAAAACATCTGAGAAATAAGACAAATCTACATACTGAAAAAAGCACAGCATATACCAAGAATCTGATATTCTAGACAGGTTATAGGACTTAACAGATGAGCACTACCATAAACAGATACTCAAGAGACAGGAATTTATATTAGGCTAAACTATTCAAATTCAAAGTTAAAGACAGTTTTGAACATGCAAAATTACAAAAAAATATTATTCATATAGCCATTCTTAAGGAAAAAATTAGAGGGTGAACAACTTTTCAAGTAGCTGCACAGCCATTTGTAAAAAAACACATTTCTCGCACTGAAAATATTCACAGAAAAATTAACAAGTACATAAGAAGTTCACAGAAAAAAGAAATAAATGGTTCTCCAGACAAGAAAAAGGATTCAACACACTTAATATAAATGAAATGCAAATTCAAATTACACTGAGGTATATGCTTTTTTGGGGGGGAAAGCTATCTGTCAGCAAAAGATATAAGATGATCGCAGATCGTTGAGGCTGTGGAGAAACGAGCATCTGACACAGTGCTGATGGGACACAAAATTAATACAAGACAAGAAAGGGGAGTCTGTCAAAATGAAGTTTTTCCTAAAAAAAAAAAAAAAACCCTGAATACATATAAAATGACACATGTACAAAATTATTTATTACATACCACCATTTATAATAGCAAAAGATTCAATTAAAATTCAACTATCCATCCACAGGTGATGGTTAAATACCATAAAACTTTAAAAACAATGAAAAAATGTTTATATGCTAATATAAAAAGATCTCCAGAATATATCATTAAATCAAAGAAAGCAATCTGTAAATGTTTCTACATTATGCTTTTTGTATCTATGAGGATAAAAATAACATATGCTCATATTACTACTTTGCATTTACAAACAGAAACACTGAAAGCATATTTAATAAATTAATTTGATAAAAGGAAAGAAAAATAATGGAGATGAGAATAAAGAGGAAATAGAACTTTTGATTGTATGCCTTTTTATACTGTATTTTTAAAACAATGAGGTATTATCTATTTTAAGGAGAAACTTCTCTTACTATTTTTGCTCTCCAATGTTTTCGAAAATAGAATTGAGATGATCCGTCCCCAGCCTTTAATAGGAAAAGTTCCTATTAAGGAGGTAGCAGAACTGCAATTCGAACCGATACTCTTGCTTCAGATCCCGTGCTCTAGCTATACTAGAGCTTCCATGTTTACCAGTAATATAAAAATATCCCTTTCACGGAGATCTCACTTATATGAAATGTTTTTTCCATCTTGCTGTATACGTAAGAGGCTGCTGTTTTGATCTGTGTTTCTTGGATTACTTGTGAAGCTGAACATTTTCATGTCTATAGATATCTTACAGGTATAAAAATGACATGTTAAAATGTCATTCTGTAATGAGTTATGTAATAATTCATAAGAAAAAAGTTCATTATTAATAATACACATCTGAAAGACGAGTTCACATATAACTATATGCCACAGCGACACTTTACCCAAATTTTAGGTTGTAAACATTGTCCTGATCACATCTATTGTAACATCGTAAGGAGGAAAAGCCACCGACCACGTACCTCATTATTTCCTCTCGATCTCCGTGACTCGCATGTTCTGCCTGAATCTTTTGTCTTAATCTGTTAATTTCTTTGTCTAGAATTGATGCAGATTTTTGTACTTCTATCCTTTCTGGGCAGATCTGTCTTGCTTGTGACATTTTCTCCTAAGGTAACAGATGTTTAATATCTTTAAAACTCTTCTTTGATAGAACAATTCATTGTACTACCAGTGCCAAATTTGCAAAGTAAAATTATAAACGCATGTTTACAAAATATATTTTAATTACATTTAGTATCAATATAAGTTTCATATTGTGAATACAGTCCAGAGTTATTAATCTTCAAGAGAAAATTGCTTTACTGTGTATGACTTTAATAGTTTGTAAGACCTCCGTAACTTCCTAGTGAAACAAATTTCAAGCGGCAATGATAAAGTTTGGCACCCAGGGCTGAGGTCAGACACAGCTTTCTGTGTGTTCTAAGATGAACTCTGAACACCAAATAGTACTGAAAACACAAACACTAGGACCCTCGTACTAGTAAAATATTAAAAAACTCAAAGCACTTTTACACAAAGTACTTATTTTATATTCACCGTACTCCATATATTGTCTTGAACATGTAAGGCAACAGATTACAGAGTTTAAATAAGTTATTAAAACATATAAAAGCAAAGTTGGAACCCATCTCTTCTAGGTAGACTAATGTTGCCTTCAACTTAATTCTCCAAAAACAGGGCTGCTGCTTACAGCTGTCAACGAGGTTGCTGAGTGAGCAGAAGCTGAATCCCAGCCCAGTGCCCATCCAAGCTACGCAGAGGCAGGGATGGTTTTTCTGACATACAGCTCTCTGCTTGCCAAGGCAGGCATTTAAGAAGCTATACTAGCTGAGAAGGAGAGCCACTTTCCAAACCACGCAGAGACACGGGTGCGACTGCCTAGCCCTGCCTACAGCCCTCCTCACGTGGGTGCTTAAGTTCCCGCACTCTGAGAGAGCCCTAGTCTCTTCCTCTCCCGATTCGCCAATAGTTGTTACTCCCTATGAAACAGGTATTCATCAGACAGCCTGTCTATGTTAAGGAAAACACACTTAAATCATGACTAAGGCTGGGAACAAAAACATCAAAGGGAAAATGGTGGATAACCTCTAGTTCTTTTTCTTTCATATCCAGTTCTCGTTTCTTTTTATTTAAAGTATCCAAGTGTTCCTTTTGCTTTTCTTCGTAATGCCGCTTCCCTCGTTTTTGGTTATCCACTTCCGAATCGGCAAGGTTTAATTCATCCTGTTTGAATAAAGCCAAAATAATCTCTAAAGACTTAAAAAAAAAATTACATGGCTATAAAACTGACAACCCCAACTGACAACCCCATAAGGTGGACAGAATTATGCTGTTTCAAGATTTGTTTGAGTTCACATCCAGATGTGTCTGAAGAGGAGTTTCCCCCAATCAGGAAGTCAAATTATTATATTCAAATTCTTCTATGAAGTCTCCATACATTATAATGCTTTCAGGTTTATTTGGGTCAACACGGTAGTTTTGTGGGAAGCCACAATAGCCTGAAAGGACTTAAAGGAGGCATAGCTTGGTGAAAGATTTTAGAAGATGATACATGTACATAGCCGCTCATCATGGTGGCTTTCTCAAAAAATGATCTACAAATCGACTATATGAGAGTCAATTTGGACATTTTAAAAAATATGTAGATTTCCAGACTTCACCTCTGGTGATTTTATTTTAGGTCTGGAATCCCTGAATCTCAAATTTTAAAATGGCTCTTCATTTAAGAACCACCAAAATAAGTTTAGACTATCGGAGTTTGTTCATTTGGTTTAACATACAAAGATCTATATACAAATGTTTACAGCAACTTTATAATAACAGCTCCAAACTGGAAACCCGTATGTCCATTAACAGGTAAGTGAATAAACAAACTGCTATATCAAACACGATGGAACATGACTCAATAAAAATGAATTACTGTTTCGTGTAAAACTATGGATGAATACCATAATAAAAAATAACTTATTCTATTCATATACTTTTTCTTTCAAAACATAGCATATACATTTATATTTTAAATGTATTTTAAATACATTACATAGTGTTAGGTTCTGAAAAAGGCCAAACCAAAAAAAAAGCAAGAGTACATAATGTGCGATTCCATCATATATAATTCTAGGAAATGTGTGAACTATAGTAAGAGAAAGCAGACTGACGGGTGTCTGGAAAGGGGGAGGGAGGGACAGATTACAGAGGGGCATGAGGAAACTGCTGGGCGTGAAGGACATGTTGCTTTTTTTCTAACTCTGTGGTTTCACAGGTGTAGTTTACATGTCAAAATTTATCAAATGATACATGTATGTATTTATTGTATATCAATTATATTTCAATAAAATTTTTAAAAATGCTCCTAATTTAAGAACCACCAAATTAAAATTTATCGCATCTGTTCATTTGTTTTTTGAGCCTAGCGCAGCCACAGATATCGTGATTAACACGTTCAGCCTCCAGAGTTACAGCTATAAACAGAGAAAGAAACACACACAAAAAAAGAGATCACAGCATCATGAAAGAGAATATATTAAGATGTCCGCAAAAGAAAAAGAATCTGAGGTATCTAAATATGGAAAATATTCACCTCATATAACAAAGGATTTAGGCTATTTCCTAACCTAAGAATACAATTGACTGCTTCTTGTTCGTACTAACTCTAACTACCACCCACGATAGACATCTGATAATATATAGCTTTTATAAAAGAGCTCTATTAAAAATAAAAATATTGTTACATAAAAGATGGAGATAAACTGTTCCTTTATTTCAAAAAATTTTAAAACCGGGTGCAATGTGTGGAGTAGGAGATATTAGTTAGAAATTGGAACAGCTGATGAAATAGAATGTTTTTTTTTCCTAAAAGCAAAACCGAGTTTTCTAATCATTTTTGGCAGACACTGTCAAAATAAACAGGCCCACACTGGCTGTGGGGAACCAATCCAACTCTAGGGAGCCAAAGGGATAAATCATATCAGGACACATTTGTGGTGGTTCATCCTCCCTCCTAGCAACTCTGGATAAGAAAAGATTAAACTTACAAAATACTATGAAAAGTGTAGGTGTTAATATCCCTTTATCCACATCTATCGTGGCTGTTTGATTTGACCTTGCATATTAAAAAAATTTAAAACTAAAAGAGAAGCGAGAACACATTTCATTTCATTTCATTTTATTGATGGTGAAATGGAGACCTAGAGATATTAAAAGGCAGTTAATGGCATTCTGGTTTTGGGATGAGGACTAGGACGGATTAGGTCTAAAATTAAACTCTGATGTAGCCCTAAACCTATACAGAGTTTCCAACTTTTAAAAAGTTACAGCCTTTTGAAAACAGCCTGAGATGCTAGAAGGGACAGAATCATTGAAAATTTGTATTCTCTCGGATGCCTAAATAATCAATTTTAGTTACTCAGCGCCTAATACGTACACAAATTGCTGTATGTATTATTATCGCTTGTTTCATATAAACCTACATTAATTATGAGGTTTTAAAAAAACTATAAAACACTAAATCTTGATATTTTCAAAAGCACAGCCACCCTCGATCCAAATAAACTCTCATCTATTTCAGAGGCCCTCCTATTCCAATAACACAGAACATCTATCTTTGTAAGCTCAATGTGGGTCACACTCCCACAAATTTGATTTGCAACTGAAGCATTAAGTTTGCAGCATAAATCAAAATAAACTGTTCAAAGTAAGAAAAATGTTCCCTATGCTGAGGTTTCAATAACTACATATTTAAACAGAGTACTCTACTCACCACGCCTCTTACAAAATGAACAAACATCCTGACAACAAACATTACGTCTAAAAACTGCTAATATATAATGATTACAGTTTCTCAGGAATTATTTTGTTAGCCCAATCCTCTCGGTCCTACTGTTACTGATGGCTAGTGTGATGTAACATTGTGAAGGAAAACCTCTTGGCTACTAGCCACTGCATGCAGGTTAACTAAAGGACTCACCTCCTAGCTTTCAGTTATTTGCAGTTATTAAGGCAAAGAGCTAAGATCAAGAATTCTTACTGCCTTCTGCCTATATTTTCTGCTCTTGAACTTATTTGTGGACTCCCAATTCCAGGAGTTGCTTTAGCCTAGAAGTCTCTAAAAGAACAGAACACAGCTTACTCTTCATCATTTCTCATTTTTAATTTTAAGCTGTCAGGGATACATAATTTAGGCGCTAATCTTTCTTTTTCTGTAATGTTTTAGCATATTTCTTCATTCTGATTTTGTCATCCTGTTCAATTCTTTACCCATTTAAAAAAATTTTTAATCTTACTTTTTGTAACTTTACTGTTCTAACTCCTGAGTCCTGAATTCTACCTTGTCTATTCTTGACGATTTAGATGTTTTTTTCTATTTTCTTGTAAGACCTTTGTCTTCTTTTTTAACTTAGACTTTTTGTTTTTTATTCTTATTTCCTGTAGCTACTATTTTCTTATGTCTTTCTCAGCATTATCTTTAATCATTTTTCCTTCCTCACAACTTTAATATTTTATTCTTCTTAATCAGCTGTCAGTCTATTTTCCCAGTTTTTAATTCTCACCTCAAATAGAAAACAATACACTACGTTGGGTTATAAGGGCAGGCAGGACCCAGCTCTGCGACAGCAGCGACAGAGAAACCCACCACGAAGCAGGAAGCGATTCTGTGCAGCTCCTCCTCTCACTCCTTTAAAACTTTCGACTCTTTATTATGTTTTTAAAAACTTTAGATAAACACGATTATAGTAAAATTTATACGCATGCAAATTCTTTTAAACTTTAAAAGTATCTAAATACATTGAATTCACAGGGGGTAATTAATTTTCCAGCAAAAAGGGGGGATGATAGAGTGATTATCATTGACATTCCCAGTTCTTCTAAAAATCTATTATGCGTTCTTCTCCATGTCTTTTAAATAAAATTTGAAGTCCTGAGAATAACTAAGCTACTCATAAAAATGATAATAATAAGCTACTGATAACTAAGCTAGTAAACAATTTGGGGAAATTTACACAATTGTTGAATAATTTCATTTCCCTAAATTTGGTCTCGGAAAGCCTGTGTTAAAGAAAATCAGTTGAATTCAGGCTGGACTACAACAGAGACAGGCCAATAAACAGGAATTGGGTAGCACTTTACTTCAAGTTGGCTTTTATACAACTAACCCTTGAGTTATTGAAGGAAAGGAGGGACAAAGAACAGGCAGCCACAGAAACAGTATAAACAGACAACACGTCCCTGGCTCTGGTTCTAAAAGAAGGACAAAAATCACAAAATAAAGAGGAAACGAAAGCTGTAATCTTTTGGGAGAAACAGAAATTTGGCAGTTTATTTTCCTGAAGGCATGACCAGGAAGATTTAATTCTAATTAATATAATGAAGATATTTTGGTTTACATCTTATTTTTAGACGGTCATACCTTTAACCCTAATGTCTAGTGAGCACGCTGTGGATACAGAACGAAGACATAAGGTACATATACAAGAGAATGAGGACATACCTTAAGCGGGTCTGCGAGGTCTGCCAGCTGATTCACTTTCAGTTTAATTGCATCATACTTATTTTCTGCTTCTATTTTCAGACTTTTAAGATGTTCCATATTTTCTTTTTGTTGTTCCATACTTTTCTCAACCATTTTCATTTTGATTTTATTTTCTTGAGCTTCATCTTCCTGGTTACATTTACAGAGTATACAGAGTTAATTAAAATACTTATGTTATCAGATCAAATAGTACAAACAGGGTACAGGCAAATTAGATCAAAGACAAACACAAGGAACACTAGGATATTTTCATCTGTCATGTTCACTGTTGCATCCCTCAGCACTTAATATGGTGCCTGGCACAGCATCAACATTCAATAATATTTATTCATTTCAAGGAGACTCTACAATCTATCTAACCAAGCGCTTACTGGAACTCAGAGAAACTAAGCTGAACATCATAAACAGTTGCCTGAAAAAAATAATAACAGAGTAACAACAGTAAAAATAGAGATGAATTAAAATGAAGACCATTTACTTGGAAAAAGAATGCAAAGAGACCAACTACAACTGACTAAAAGATATTAATACTGATACTGATTAATTCTGAAAAATACTATGCTAGGTGGTTTGGTTTAATATGTCACTGTTTAAGAGCACAATTAAGCTTTGATAAAGTTTTACTTCATGTAGTAGAAGACAAAATCAATTATTATGCAGGCAAGTTATATACATGAAACACTAAGAAACGTAAAGACCATTTATCAGTTTCTACCATAGCTGTAAATGGAGATAGCAATTATAAAAAGTAGCCCCAATTAAAAGGATTGAAAAAAAAGCTGAGAGTAGATGCTATTAAGCTAAATGACACTGCTGTACTTTAAAACATTAAATTTAAATTGAAGAAAAGAATCTTACCAAGGTTGCAATATCTACGGACTGGTGTTCTTCTATGTTCTCGAGTTCCTGAATTTCGGAAATACATTTCCTCATTTTCATCTGAAAGAAAAGTATTTAGATTTCAGTAACGTAAAAATAAATAAAAAAATAAACATAAACACCCTAGAAAGGAAGTATTAATCCACTGCAGTAGCTGATATAATAATGTAGTTGTTGAGTAAGCCAGATAAATACAAAAATGTCACTCTTCTCACTAAATACTTTTGGTTTGGAAAAGGTTATTTTTCATTAAAATGTTAGGTATGTTAACACATGAATTTATTATTTTTTAAGTGAACTGATAAATATTCTTAAATTTCATAAATACTGATAGATAAAACCCATATAATGTGAAAGTTTTTTTAAGACTATGAAGGAAGCTTGAGGCCAAAAAGTTTGAGAACTACTCCTCTAACTAAATGAATGGTGGGATTTTAAAAATAACTTGGAAGCGATAAGCTGAGAAAAACAAAATGATGTGTATTTTTTTGTACCTTTAATTCTTTACAATGTAGCTGGCACCTTCTAAGAAATTCTTCATTGCGTTTAATATCCTTTTCAAGGGCAGACAAATGTTGCTGGAGATTTAATATCTGGGCCTTCTTATTTGCAACCTCATTCTCCAAGTCACTTGATAGAGAGAAGAGGATAAAAAATACTTTGAATCTATTTCTGAATATTACCAATACTTTAGATCTTTACAAAGAAAAGCTTATTTTAACAGCCTATTTGCAAAATCCGATTCAATTAAACCAGTTCTATGTTCTTACCAAGTTATTAACAACATGAAAATAGAGATTTCAAAAACATCGAAACTGGAGTCAAATTTACTTATTTCATTAATAACTATTTATGATATGACTTCCGTGTGGCAGGCATTGTACACAGTTATAGGTCGTGGTAGAAACAGAATTAAGACATGAAAGAATCAAACAAAAAGGAAAAAATTCAGAAAATACACTACAATATGGAAATGTGAGGACACTTTTCGTCCACAGGACCACTGAACAAAAGAATGAGTCTGGGAGACGTGACAACTGGACTGTATTCTGTAAAGTTTTCAACGGCTGGACAAACTAGGCGTAAAGGATGGAAAGAAATGCACAAAGGCACAGAGGCATGAAAAGCTAAAAAGGGCAGTCGGCTCGACCTTGACTGATGGGGAATAAATGCCATGAATGTGTGGAACTGGAGGGAGGGGAGGGACAGGGAGGAGGACGATGAAAAGGGATGGAGGGACACAAAGTAAGCGGAGGCCAAGCCATAAAGGGTCTCCATGCCAGGACAGTCGCTGTCTTCAGAAGTGATCTTTTCCTGCCTCACTGACCCGTGTCCCGAAGTTGTACACCTGGCAGAAGAGAACTGCCTTTGCAGTTAAGAAAAACTTCTGTGAGTGAGAACGTGCCATATTTCAATATGATACACATTTCCCCACATTTTAACATCTCTGAAATCATCTTCAGTCTCCAGTCCATGGTTCAGTTAGCAGTGTTGTTTTTTGTTTTTGTTTTTTTTAACTGGTATATAAAATGACATAGCACCTTAAATTTGATGAAACATTGAAACTGTGCTACCTTGGAGAAATTCGCAAAATTAAGCAAAAAGCAATACATATTAGTTGAATAAACAATAATCACATTGGCTGAATAAATGATAAATAAATGATTACAATAAAGAAAGAGAATAATTGTGGTATTTCGGGTAAAAATGAGGCCAGATGCAAAAATTTAAGATGGCTCTTCAGGATTCAAAGAGAAATGTTTACTTTATCATATATAAATCTATACTTTTATTAATAAACAGCAATTTTGCTAAAACCAACAAAAAAATGTACCAAGTAAACAAACTTTGCAACTTAGAGCCTAAACCAAAAAAACCAACAAAATGAGCACAGAAAATATTGTTATTAAACATTTTTTTCTGAATATTTAGAATGAATTTAAGGAATAAACCTAATTTAAATAAACGAAATTTCTAAAGTTTACTTCCTATTTAGCAGGTAGGACAAATTCTGTTACATGTTTTCATAGTGTTCCTTCTTAGTTTTTAATTATTTTTTACATGGAAAAAGAACATGTACTACCTAATGACATATGTATGAAAACTGAGCTGAGTATGAGCTGTTTGTGTGCGATGAATACACTGTCCTGACCAGCCATCTAAATAGCACACGTCTCACTCTCGAGGCCTTACTCTGCTGTATCTTTCTCCATAGCGCTTGACCTTGACCTAGTTAGTATTCACTTATAGTCTATCTCTTCCTTCTTAACATAAAAGCTCCGAGAGAGAGAATTTTTTTGTACTTTGTATCCTGCTGTACCTGGTGCCAAGATTAGGGACCCAAACGTTAGGTACTCATTCAATATCTGTTTTAAAGAACATAAAAGAATCAAAGAATAAAATTTGAAAAATATACTTCAGAAAATTGCATTAAAATATTACAATATTTGACAACCCAAAAATTCACAGGTCATTTTTTTGTGATCTTGTATAAAGCAGTAACCACACTGGTAATTAATCTGAGAGCTTACTCATGTATCTCTTTTGTCTCTTCTATGTACTTTCATAATGGGAAATCCAGTGGGATAATAAAACCAAGTCAGTACCTGTACTTAAGACTTGAAACCCTCTGTTCATTATGACATTGTAAGAAATAAATTATAATCTCTTCACTTAAACTCCAGTGCCATTTTTCATCGAGCTGAGTTGACAGGGGTCAGAGCTGAGTTGACAGGGGCACAGAGGAGCATTCTTCAAATACTCAAAGTATGGGGGAAAACTGGGGAATCTTTCTTGAGTCATCTGGCAATATTAAATAATCAACTTACGTAATAAAATCAAATTAAAAATCAAATCAAAAATCAAATCATCTATTTTAATAAATATTAAAGCTCATTTAATAGAAGTATTAAAATATTAGTAACTATTTAGTATTATTAAACATTTAAAATTGAACCATAAATTGTATATTAATAAATCAATAATAGTCGCTTGGCAACAGCTATTAAATAACTTTAAAATTCATATATCCTTTGACTCAGTGTTTTCACCATTAACAATTTCAGCTATGCACACACTTTCAAAAAGTCTGCCAAGGCACACATGCGTGTTCTCACTGCGGCACTGTCACAACAGGAGAGCATGACAAGCCCTATGTCCATCAACAGGGACGTGGAAAAGTCGATTATGGTACAGCCAAACCAAGAGGTAGCTCTAAATGTGTGGACACGGAATGATTTCCATGACGTAATACTGAGAGAGAAAAAGAAAGCTATAGAAACTACAAGCATAACTTATACAGGGCACGGTATGGATGAACCTTGAATATGGTATACCAAGTAGAAGCCAGACACAAAGGTTGTATATGATTCCATTTATACGAAACATCCAGAATATACTAATCCATAAAAACAAATCCGAAAGCAGATTACAGGTTGCCAGGGGCTGGGGGTGGGGGGAAACGGGGAATAACTGCTAATGGGTATGGGTTTCCTGCTGGTGTGATAAAAATGTTGAGGAATTAGAAGGCAATGATAGTTGTACAACCCTGTGAATATAAGAGAAATCTCTAAATTGTATTTGTTAAAATAAAGTGACTTTTATGGCATGTGAATTTATCTCAATTTTAAACTCATATGTATATGGTTCAAGTATATAAGCTGTTCTGGAAATATATATCAAACTGTTACACTATTCCCTCATTTTTGAAAGAGGGATAAGAACAAAGGGTTTGACTTTTCATTGTATATTTTTCTGTACTGTCTGCATTTTTTACCCATATGCATATATTACTTTTAATTGATTTTAAAATATCAATAGACTATGGAGAAATGGGATTCTGAATTACTTTTGTTTTCTGCTTTATATTTTTCTGTATTTAAAAAACACTAATGAATTTTTTTAACTTCCAAATATCAGACCACTATCATAGTGGTTCAGATCAAAACAGAAGACAAAAGTCATTTAAATATTATCAAACTTGGTATATTTTCAATCTATAAAGTTGAGAAACATGGGAAATAATTTTTTAAAAACCAGTATTCATCTGGCTTTTAAGACAACAGCTTTGCCCACTACACATTAATAGCTAAAAATTAAACCAAATTATCAATAGTGAACTTAAGTTTTGAAATCTTATTACTAAAATGCTAGAATCAGGGATCCTGACTTGCTGCTGAGATACACGTACAATCTTTTCCAAAAGTACTTTTTTTTTAAGACTTGGGATACAAAAGAACAAGGCATTTTTTTGGTTGAATGTAAATGTAAGAATTACACAGAGTAACACTACCATGATACTGTTTAGACATTTATACTCACATTTGTTTGAACAGCATACAGTAGAAAGACCTGATTTAAATGTCATGGCACTAGGAGAAAAAGCTGATCACTTTATAGGTCACATTTCTCAGGCGCATGGTAATGGACTTTCACCTCTCCTAGCAGAGAGATTCAGTGTCGATTTAAAATGTGTGCTGAGTGCCCCAATACCGATATCCACTATGGTTGTGTCCCTTTATGCTGCTCCCGTAACCACACAAGAGAAAACAAGAGATCTATTTTGACAAAACCCTCATTTCCCCTACATGCTTGTCATTTAGAATACTTTCACTTTTACTCAGTTTTCTTAGATTTTTTTTTTTTTTACTTAAGTCTAAGTTCTTAAGGTCTTCTAGGTCATTAATTCAGTTCCAACCCATCAACTGATCAACTGAATTAGTTTGGTTAGAAAATCATGGGGTTTTTTGTACTAAAAATTCTTTTTGCGTTCTTTTTCATTACGTACATTTATTAGTTTTTCATTCAACTTCTCCATCTCTCTGCCCTAGCAGCTGTTTTCCTAGGCATGTGTTCTAAATGTGCCTACTGGACTACAGAAGAGCGCAATTCAAAATACCAGTGAGAGACATAACACAGACCTTGAGCCAGAATGCAAACCAGCACACTTGTACTCTCACTGAGAAAAATAAGCAGAATAAACAATGGGCATGTTTATTGTGGGTATCAGCAATAGTGATGCAGCTGATTTATATTGAGTTAAGTTCCTTATCTCCTTGTAGACAGGTTATAAACAACGTGCAGGTCAAGGAAACACGTCGTGTGTTCTTAGCCCACAATACTGTTGTCAAAGTGATGATGGAAAAATTATCGTCAACCTAGAATTCTACATCCAACTAAATGATCTCTTAAATCCAAACAGAGTACTCACAATTCTTCACTGAAATAACTACTAATAGAGTAATATGAAAGAAACTAAACCCAAAAGAAGCAGTGGAAACAATACAGCAAAGCTACACTGGACACCAACCTTATTTCAGAATCCACATCTCTGCTTAGGAATTTGGGTCTTGTATATTCAGATGAATAATATCGTCCTGCAAAAACTTGATCGCCATCAGCAGTAAAAGCCTCTCTACAATTCTTGGGTGGCTTTTCAGACTGCATTACTGCACGAGCTACAGAATTACTCTAAAAAAACAGAGGAAAAAATAATTTTTTAAGTTATATAAAAGCATTTCTGATGCACATACTTGCAAAATGTTACCTGTCGTTATTTTAAGATTCAAGTATTTTTATTTAAACATTCAAGTAAAATAATTCCATAAAATTAAATAAAAGAATTTCAAAAACAATTTTCAAGATTTAAACAATTAAAACGATTAAGCCTTTAAAACAATTTAGTAAATATTGCCTTATGACAAACTGATATATTTTATTTTTAAATTCTAATACTCCTGGTCCATTTAAAATTAAAAATTATGTTAAGTAACTTTTCATATGAAAATATTTACTTTAAACCAGTTCATATAAATCTTATTTTTTCTAAGTGGCTTTCACATCTTAGAAATGATGCAAGTGAAGAACAAATTCCAAGATTAATATACTGAATTACACTGGGAAAGCCTGAAAATATTTAAGCCCTGGAAGAAGTAAAAAAGGGATTAAGCTTAATGGAGGTCTGGGCAACCTCTCTGGGAGACCTTTACAACAGAAGTCATTATTTTCTTTCAAGTATCCTTCTAAAATCCTTAACAGCCAAGCCTACAAATAATTACAACACGAACTTGCAATATACATATGTATTTATATACACATTTGGATTACCGACATCATTACTTCTCAGTTTCCATTAATGAGAAAAACAGATTCTATCGTTTGTCTTGATTATAGACTTATTTTGAATTTCTTTGTTCCTTCCCAGCAAATTTATGCCAATAGATAAAATACAATGTGGCGATTTAATTCAACAAGTATATAAAAATACATAAGAACAGATAAAAAGTATTGATTTTTACAGGACTCAAAATTTTAAGAAATTCAAAAGTACTAAGTAAAGCACCTGTTTAAAAGTAGAATGATAATAATACCTGTATATGTAAAGGTGAGTAAAAATGGTTTTGGCAGCCAATCAAGAAAGAATGAACAGAAAACTTTTATAGCCTCGTGCATTGAAAGAATATAAACTTGTGAAACTATATTAAGAACAGCTGAAGAACAGCTCAAAGTTATAAAGTTCCCTGGGGCAGGAAACACAAACCACCAGCTATGTATTACTCTACAGATTTTCCTATGAGGTCAAAGTACAATGATAAAACATCAACAATTTTATGATACAAAGGGGAACAGGAATTTATAACCAATTTCAGTTTTGAAGATTTTTAAATAACATAAAATCCGGCAAGCATCTGGTCTTACTTTGATTAGCAGCACTGTCTCTATGCTTCTCAGGTCAATGAGGCTATTTGCAACAACTGCATTATCTATTTCTAACGCTGTCAGAACCGTTGGGAACTCAGGATGATAAGCAGCTCTGGGAGACAAAAATACATAAAGGTTAACTTATAGAACTTTAATTATACACAAATATGCATTATATATTATAGGTGAGTAGATGATAGATAATAATACGACAATGAAAAACATCTGATAACGTTTGAAAACATTTGATAAGGTTTACTTTTTCACTTAAGCAAACATTTATGTAATATGTACTGGGCACTGTTATAAGAATATTATAAATACGAGCTCACCTAATCTTTACAGCAACTATTATGATAAATAAAATTATTCCCTCTTTATTTATTTTTTTTCAGATGAGGAAGCTTCAGAGTTTAATAAAATCCCCCCTACCCAATGTCAGAGCCAGTTAAATGGTCGGGGTAGAATTTAAACCAGCAGCTCAGCTCTAGAACTCAGATTTTTTTTTTTTTTTTTTTCAATTCAAATAGTTAGTATACAGTATTATATTAGTTTAGGTATACAACATTTATAGAACCCAGATTCTTAAACATTATGCCCTACTGCCTGTTTTAATAATAATGATTTCCTTAAATCTTATATGCTATCATATATAAAAGTTAATTATTTAAAACACATTTTTTAAAAGCTAAAAAAATTTCATACTAAGAAAAACTGAAGTTAAGATTATTATGAACATAGAGGAACTGTGAGAGAAAAGATATCCTTATCAATTGCAATCTGGGTTTCCTAAAGAGACATTCAATCTTTCAACCAAAAAATTTAAACATCTGAGCTATAAACAGCACTGAAGAACGGGCCCACCAAGAATAATAGGTACAGGAGCAATGAAGAACTAAGGGAGAAATGGTCACGGCATTCTTAGTGCTTTCTTAGTCCCAAAATTCTAAAACAGAGCAAGTGTCTTTGTATTTATGTTTTATATCTATTCATTCAATAATTTGACATGTATTTACTGAGCACTTACTATGTGCCAGGCACTGTTCAGAGGATGAGGAGACAGCAATAAGAACAACAACGGACTAGTCCTTCTCACCACGGAGCTTAGTCTACTGAAGGGAGACAGAGACTAAGGGAAAAGTGGCATATAGTGCTTTTTCACACAAAATGGGTATGGAAGTCTCACAGGTGATACTGGGCAGATGCCTGAGGAAATGGGAGTCACACTAGCACCCTGAAGAAGGGCATTTTGAGCTAAGGGAACAGCACTTGCAAAGGCTCTACAAGGGGGTGTCAGAGAAGCCAGTTGGCCTGTGTGCCGCGGTGGACTAAGCAGTGAGGAGTGCTGGCAAGAGAACAGGAGAGCAGGTAAGAGGCTAGACCATGTGGTCCAGAGATCGCGGCAAGGCCTAAAGAGGATGAGGATGTACAGGGTGCTCTGACTTCCGCGGGCTTCAATACTGAGAGTGGGAGTGACGGAACAAGCAGCAGGAAGACTGGCCTATTGCGACAGTCAAGCAAGGCATGATAATGGCTTGAACCAGGGGCACTGCAAAAGTGTTCGATTCTGGATATTCATTTTTAAAGTATAGCCGATAAGATGTGGAGTGGCACAGAACAGTCGAGGTGACTGAGGTTTTGGCTTAAGCAACTGAAAAATAAAGATAGAGAAGCCTCCAGGAAGAGCAAGTTTTAGGGTAGAGTTTGGGAGACTGGCTTTTTTACATGTTAAGTTTGAATGTCTACTGTACATTCTCCCACTCCAGATGCAATGAATCTGTCAGGGGTCGTTTCTACCACAAGCAATGTGGTCTAGTAACACAACTGAAATTTCACTTTTATGGGGTTTTAGAACCAGGGATCAAAGCTAGAAATTGACAGAAGGTCAAATTCTCATGCAGACAAAGAAACTCTTTACTCTTAGCTCCCAAATCCTTATTTCTAGTCTAAAAGCTCAAAATCAACAATTTCAAAACAGGACTTATCTACTTTTGACATATCCATTTTTTTCTTCTGCTTGTCCTACATCAACTGATGGCACATCTGTTAGGCAGTTTCTCAAGCCAGAAACCTAGCGGCCACCCTCAATTCTTCCTTCTTGCATTCAAGTAACAAGTTTTATTGATTTTGTCCCAAATACCTCTTTTAATCTACTCCTTACTATCTATAATGCAAATGTTATTTTCTGCAGAATAATTTGTATCATGCCTCTACGCATTTTGCACATGAAATTCTATTTGACTAGAAGGCAATTAACAAACTCATCTGTTAGAAGACTAATCATTTTTCCTTTCTTCTGATTTCTTCCGTTACCTACCTACTAACATTTAATTACTCCCTCATGTGAACATCTGCAACTTGTGATCCAATTTTATCAAAGCTGACAAAGAATAAATTAGAAAATATGTATATTTTTAAAAGTAAAGTGGCTAGCTAGTCCGCGGCTAGCAAAGAGGCCAGTTTAGTTATTGTGCCTTGAGAAGGTTTCTTAGGGTCAACAAAGAAAACAATCACTGCGCTTTATCTGTGAATCTGGGAATCTGTGAAGCTCCGTAATGAGTGCCCACCCGAGTTCTTCCTTAGTCTCTCCCTCTTTTTCCGGCTAAGTCTTCATCATTTGTCATTGGCATAATTGCTATGCCACACTACATCCGTTTTACTATAGTCTCCCACAACAGACCTCATGTAAGGACCTCAAGGGCAAGGAGCATCTCTCTTGTTTATCTTCTTGAAATTAAAGAAAAAGCTTGACAAAATTTTATAAATCAGCAGTGCAGATACAGTTAACATAAAAATGTTTTTATTCTTTCTGACCCTGAACAAAATTAAGCAAAACCAGAAATAGTAATTACCGATGCCTTACCTGTGTCTTACATCGTACATGACATTCTGAAACTCAGATACTATTATCTGTGGCCGTGAGGCCCCTGGTAAATAAAACTTTTTCATCAGTGCCTGAAGTACTCTTTCATCAGCATGATTATGGCAACAATAGGCTTGCAGAAGTCCTTTTAAGCACGATTCAATAGCCAAAGCAAGTTCAGGGTCCCGAAGATGAATGCAAGCACCTAAGAGTGACAGAAAACCATTAAAAGGCCATAAATACTTATTTTGAAATATTAATGTCACTATCTTTCTACATAGTTCATAATGATTTTAAAGTATTTTCATATAAAGCAGCTTGAATGATATTATAAATCTCACTTTAACTAAATGGGAAATCCCCATATATCCATTGAATACACTCGGAAGAAAACCCACTACTGTGAAAAAAACTTTCCCACGCTAATGTAAATCAACAGTCATTTTTCTATGTTAGTTTATACCATTCCAGGCATTGAACTGTGTTTTGAAAATCAAGCCAAAAGGTTTACAGATTCTTTATTATTTTCTGTAAAACTGATTTATATTTAAGTAAACAGACATTACTATAGTACTTAAGATAGTATGCAATGATATACTTAAACAGTAACAATATTTTACTAACAAAATAGGTTTATATTTACAGCATAATTTTCACATATTGATGTACAGAATCAGAGATAACTCTACAGATATTTAAATAACCCCAGATTTTAGAGCTGGATGGGGAATTAGAAAAAATGCTGTCCATCCTATATAGAACTACACAGCTCTTAGTTTTAAGACTAAATTCAGTAGACCCTCTCCTGAAAATAAAAACTTTTTTCTAATGTTTATCATATCCTGACGAAATGGTGGCAAATACCTAAGGGGCCTACAGGTTTATAGGTAAATTGCCCACGTCTATAAGCATCATCTATTGCTTCAAGAAGAGCTGGAACATAGGGGCCAAATCGTTTCAGTCGGTCAGTTTTACTATCTTTCAAATCTTTCAGTTGCTTCTGATTATAGTTTAGAGTAAGCTTCACATCTGACTCTTCTCTCCTAAAAAAAAAAAAAAACAGAACACATATGTGACGTGCTTATACAAAAATATTCCGCCTTTTCCCCTTAATACCAGCATACCAGTGAATGACTCAGCTACCCCCAAAACTAAAAGCATATTTCTTTATTTGAAAATAATCATGTGTCTAGAGGAAAAGAGTCAGAAATCCTCAAAATTTAGCTTAAAAATAAGATGCAATAATGATGAGGACTAGAAATCTCAGAAGTTGTCCTACTCTACAAGTGTAATAAAGTCTCAAAAAAGTGATTTTCGAAGCATGTGAGATCTTGCTCTCCAGCATATGTTGTCAGTTTGGCTCAAATAAACGCTAATAAAAATCAAAAACAAAAAGAAAGAAAAGACAAAGTGATTTTAAAAAAATATCTCGTATTATGCAGAAGAAACGAACAACAAAAAAAAGTCCATGCTTTCTCTCTTTATGTAAAGAACAAAACTATATGATTTTCAAGTAACTGAAAAAATCATGATAAGGCACGTTGAAACTTACTTAATTCTAGTATGTTCTTCTTTGTCCTTTTCTATGGCTTGCTGAAACTGTTCGATCTCTTGACTGACTGTATTTTCTTGATCCTCGATGGCCTTTACTCTCTCTTTTAACCAAGAAATTTTTTTTTGCCTCTCCAACCGCTCAGGTTCCAAAGATTGATCGGCACTAACAATGGATAATCCAAAGTGGAAAATGTTAAATGAAAAACCTAACACTTAAAAATCATAAGGCACTGTGATAAAATTCCTTTAGCAATACAGAAAATATAATACTGCATTTCGCCTAAATTACTTTATTACAAAGTGAGGTAACCATAAAAATTGCAAAGTAACTATCTTACCTTCTTTTCAGTTCTTCAATTCTTTTGTAAAGCTGCTCATCATCTTTCTTTAATGCTCTATACTCGTTTAGGGAACGGTTATACAAAACCTAACAAAAAATTAGACACACTTTACTAAAATGAAGTCAAAATCCCATACAAGTCCACTTTTGCCAAATCTTCAAATCAGCGGCTGAATGCATATAGAAATATATTTAAAAAATAAAGTCCATAAATGTCCATATGAAACCATTACGTTTTTTAAAGTCTGAAAGCAACACAGATTTCTATTTAATTACAAAACCTCTACTTTTAAAAATAAACGAACAGTATTTATATCTGAAACGCAGTTTTTAATAGTCCAGGTTGGGAATTTTGTCTCACCTCAGCTTCATTATAGGCCCTTTTCCTGGCAATAACATCTTCCTTCAATGCCATACATTCTGGTGCTCGTGCATTTGTCTCTTGACTAATCTTTTCCAGTTTATCTTGAATATCCTTGTATTTTTTTTCTGCTTCATGAAGTCTGACCTTTAACAAAATAACATTGTTGGAGTGTATGTTATTTTTCTTCAATACGCAGAAAAAAATTTTTAATTATACATAGTTCACATTCCAATAATAAACTTAATTTCACTCTGACTAAAGAAATTCAAGACATTAAGCAAACATAATTATATAAAATACTAAAATAGAATTAAATTTTAATTCCACATTTCCAAAACTGTGCTATCTTTACAGACAGAGTAAAAATTGTCTTCCAGTAACACAATTAAAGAAAAACACAATTTAGCAGAGAAACAGGTATGTAAATTGGTTGCACAGTTTGGCTATAATAATGCTGAAATAGGGTATATTTGTAATTGTAAAAGCCTAGAGGAAAAAACCCAATGGTTTGC